GAGGGAGAAATACAACAGCCAAGGGGGTAAAGTCTCAGGAATATAAAATAGAACTCATAACTGTCTCTCTTAACATGCTGTTAGTGGCCAAGTCACAGGGAGGGGGCCAAGGAGAGACTCTGTCAGTGCGAAGCCAGGGCACCCTGGGAGTATCACACCGAGGGTCCAACCTCTGTGTGAACAGTGGCCTCCTAGCCACCCACGGGAGGGACAGATGGAGTGCAGTGAGCAAGAAAGGGATAGTGCACACCCGTCTGTTTGCACAAGCATGTGTGGGTGTGTCTGTCTGTGTGATAAAGAGCTCTCAGGCACATTGTCACTTTCTAGACACAAATTTTATATTTTTAATGTGTACCCTACAATAGTTTTTTTTCATTCTTTAAGGATAAGACTAATTAAATTTCAGATTATGACTAATTATATAAACTAACATGTCAAAGGAAAACTAAATATGTTCATCTGTTAAAAATAGCCCAGGCAGAGTGGCTCACGCCCGTAATCCCAGCACTTTGGGAGACTGGGGCAGGCGGATCACCTGAGGTCGGGAGTTTGAGACCAGCCTGGCCAGCATGGTGAAGCCCTATCTCTACTAAAAATTCCAAAAAAAAAAAATTAGTCAAGCATGGTGGTGCACACCTGTAGTCCCAGCTACTCGGGAGGCTGAGGCATGAGAATCATTTGAACCCAGAAGGCAGAGGTTACAGTGAGCCAATATTGCACCACTGCACTCCAGCCTGGGTGACAGAGTAAGACTCTGTCTAAAATTAAATAAATGATATATTTAATACTATCTTTACCAAAAGCACCATGATAACATATTATTATTAAATCTTAGTATGACCATCGATGTGTTCCATAATTAAGAATTCCATGTTAGAAATGACATATGTAAATTCTTTTTGCTTTTTCATATGTCACTAAGTTTGTTTTGAGTCCTCAAAAACACTCAAGCTTTACAATACGAAAATAAAATTATGCAGTGGAGTTCCTTGTAAAAGTGGTTATTGAAGGAAAAATGTGATTGGGACTGAAAGAAACAGCACTATCATTTTGACTCCTAATGTATTCATGGTTTCTCTCTAAGCCCTGTGCTGGCTGGGCGATGTACGGGTCTGAGGCAGATCGTGGTCAGTTTAACAAGGTTTCAGACATGAGTCATGTGGACAAGCACCACCTGGGGCCCAATATCCGCATCGGCCATATGATTGTGGAATGTGAGCTGCGTGAGGGCAACCTCTGCCATCTTTGAATGTCAGATCTCTGTCTCCCATCACTGCATCTAGAATCTAGTTGGGACTAAACAGATATTTGTTGGTTGACTATATGAATGAAAGCTTGGATGGATGGAGGAGTAAGTGAGTGATCCCACCAAAGTTACTCCTGTGTAGAAAAAGAATCAAGTTCTGTTTGGACCCAGAGGATGGCTCAGTGGCCCAGGGAGTAAGATGACAGTGCAGTGTCAGGAAGTATCCAGAAGTGGATGGGCTGCCTCGGGGGAGTGAGCTCACCATCATGGGAAACATTTAAGCAGTGGCCAAGGGAATGGCTCTCTAAGTCTGTCCCAGTCCCCAGGGCCCCTGGCTCTCAAAGCATGTCCCAGGACTCCTGGGGGCCTTCAAGACCTGTTCAGGGGATCCGAAAGCCAAACTGCTTTCAAATGAATACCAAGACATTGCTTGCTATTTTTGCTTTCTTGACATTGATACTAATGGTACAATAATATCAGGGCAGATCTGCTGACCCAGGAATCAAGCCACCAGCTCCAGCACAAAAGTCACTGTAGACTTCACTGCCATACACCGCCTTTAAAAATAATTTTATTTAATCTAGGCAATACCATTCAAGACATAGGCATAGGCAAAGATTTCATGTTGAAAACGCCAAAGGTAATTGCAACAAAAGCAAAAATTGACAAATGGGATCTAATTAAACTAAAGAGTTTCCGCACAGCAGAAGAGACTCATCAGAGTGAACAGACAACCTACAGAATGGGAGAAAAAATTTGCAATCTGTATATCTGACAAAGGTCTAATATCCAGAGTCTGCAAGGAACTTAAACAAATATACAAGGAAAAAAAAAAAAAAAGAAACATTAAAAAGTGGGCAAAAGACATGAACAGACACTTTTCAAAAAAAAAAAAAATTCTTGTGACCAACAAATATATGAAAAACGCCTCAACATCACTGATCATTAGAGAAATGCAAATCAAAATCACAATGAGATACCATCTCGCACCAGTCAGAATGGCAATTAAAGAGTCTGGAAACAACAGATGCTGGCAAGGTTGCAGAGAGAAGGGAATGTGGAAAGGAACTGTGGAAGACAGTGTGATGATTCCTTAAAGATCTAGAGGCAGAAATACCATTTGACCTAGCAATCCCACTGCTGGGTAGATAGCCAAAGGAGTAAAAATCATTCTGTTATACAGATACCTGCATGCATATGTTCATTGCAGCACCATTCACAATAGCAAATACATGGAATTAACTCAAATGCCCATTGGTAATAGACTGGATAAAGAAAATGTGGTACATATACACCATGGAATATTAAAGGAATGAGATCATGTTCTTTGCAGGGACATAGATGGAGCTGGAAGCCATTATCCTCAGTAAATTAATGCAGGAACAGAAAACCAAACGCTGCATGTTCTCACTTATATGTGGGAGCTGAACAGAGAGAACCCTGTGTCCCCCACAGACACATGGAGGGAAACGACACACATGGAGGGATCGACATAATTGGACACATGGGGAAGGCCTGTTGGGGCAGGCGTGTGGGGGGAGGGAGAGCATCAGGAAGAATAGCTAATATACTTTGGGCTTAATACTAAGGTGATGGGTGGATCTGTGCAGCAAACCACCAAGGCACACATTTACCTACGTAACAAACCTGCACATCCTGCTCTTGTACCCCAGAACTTAAAATTATTATTTTTCCTTCAACTTTTATTTTATTTGACAATGTTCTTGAGGATGCAATAAAAAATAATATTATTCAGACTTGACCTTTGAAACACATAGCTTTTTAACATTCTACGTGACAAAATCAGCAGTGCTTATAAATCCCTTCTGCTGCACTCCAAAGCGTGAAGATTGTCTCCAAGAAGCACCTGTGAGGTGTTTCAGCCTGAGTTGAACCAGCCACTTCTTAATGGAATGTCATTTGTCCCTTGAGAAAACAACTGACAAACTCTGGACTTTGGGTTTTGGGGAGACTTTCCTCAAAAGTGAATCAGATGAACCTGAAGAAGAATAAACCATCGACAATAGTTGTTGCCAATGGTAAAATTTGAGCTTTCCAGAAAAAAATTATGATTTTAGAAAATTTGTATTCACTCCCATGAGTTGGAGAGGTTCCCATGACTTAGACCTTCCTTTATAAGATCTGTGGTATTATTAATGAATGCGATTTTCAATATGATGAAATGTATCAACTGTGGGAAGACCCACATAATTCTGCAAACCATTGTTTTCCAGTGACCAAGACCTGAGGACACAAAATCATGCATGGGTAAAAGGTCTATTCCAGGCACAAGACAGATCCACGGATTTTCATGTGACAGGGAGGGAGAAAGTTTGTTGATACGGGTTCAGATTCCACATCACAGCTAGCCTATAGGAAGCTACTAGTTGTCTAGCTGTGGTGTAGTATCAAAGCAGAATATTCACAGTTAGCTAAAAGGGCTATTAAAATACTTCTTCTTGCTCTGTGTACTCATCCATGTGAGGCCAGATTTTCTTCCTATATTTAAACCAAAACAAAAGATTTCCACAGACTGAATGCAGAAACAGATATAAGCATCCAGGTAGTTGCCATTCAGTCAGACACAAAAGAGACTTGAAAAGATGCAAAACTGTGACACTCTTCTCGCTACTCTTTTCTTTTAGTTTTGGAAAATATACTTATTATCCATAAAATGTTATTTGTGTTAACATATAATGAGCTTACTTTATTCTTAAATTAACTAAAATATATATTTTATAAATTTCTAAGCTTTAATTATTTGTTTATTTTGGAGATAGGATCTTGTTCTGTCACCCAGTCTGGAGTGCAGCGGTGCAGTCATGGCTCACTGCAGCCTCAAACTCCTGGACTCAAGTGATCCTCCCACCTCAGCCTTCCAAAGTGTTGGGATTACAGGTGTGAAACACTGCACCCAGCCAGATTTAATATTTAACACAGTAAATTATCGATAGCTGTAACTTATCTAGCAAAAACTCTTTGGGATCCTCAAAAATTAATAAGAATATAAAGGGCTTCTAAGGCCAAAAGTTTGGGAACCAGTTTCTTAAGAGCCATTTTAAACATGGTGGTCACCTCTAAACCTCAGATTCTGTACTTCTGTGAATGAATGGAACTAACTTGGCAGGTAGTCTTACGTACAATAAATATAACTTTCATGTCAAAGTCAGTTTCTTTTAAGAATACTAACTACCTACCCCTTCTGAAATTCTCAACACTAAATTTCAAAGTCTGCTTTTTTAAAATGTGGTTATGGAAAAATAGTACTATTTGGAACCCATAAAACATAGGGCCTCAGACTTAACTAAAACCTAAACCATGGGTGGGTATTTAACACGTTATTACTAACTGTGTAATTTCGACAACTCTGTCCTTCTGTTTAGTTTCAAAATCCTGTGTTTATTCTCAATTTTAAACAGGAAGAAATGATTTGTGCTTCTGTCTTCATTCTTAACTCAAACACAGAGCATCTCAACATTTAAAAAAAAAAAAAGGAAGAAAAAAAGTACAAACTGTTTTAAAGAGAGATGTTTGCATCAGACTAACAATTCTCTAGAGGAAGGAAACCTGCTACTGAATGCCATCAGTACCTTCAGTTTCTTCAAGACACCATGCCCGGCCCTTGATTTACAGGGAACCCTCCACCCTTAATGACCATCACTCATTTAAATGAATATAAGCAAATAAATTAAATGGGGTATATAACAGGAGAGGACTTCATTTCTATTTTAATTTGCTATTTTTTTTCCTGTAGAAATTTAACCGGGACATTTCCTGACTACCCTGACATTGAAGAAGGAGGCTCAGCTATTATTTTTTCTAACAAGACCATACAACAGGTACAAATATGCTTGAGAAATGAAGTGTAAATGTATCAAATGGCATTTCTTTAAACTTTAAAATGAATGAGTTGATAGCCTTACTGGGTCTCGTTTATTTTCCTATACATATTTACATGGAAATACTTTTGGGTGTTCATGATTGTATGTACTTTCATATTTATTCAAAGTGAGCTCTTTTTTTTTCCCCATCTTATCTTTGAAGGAGATGTGATGATGTGTGAAGGTCGTTTTCTTAGTAAATTCTGAGTAGGTTGGCTGCAGGAGTCCTTTGTGTTCTGGTCCCAGCTTCCCTCTCCCTCTCAGCTCCATGCCCCACCCCCTCAGCAGGCCCTTGGCTCCAGCAGTCCACTCACCTGTGCTCCTAGCTCATGCCGCTGCTCCTTTGGGTGTGCTATGCTCTGCCTGAGTTCTGGGCGCCTTTCTGCTTAGCTCCTGCTCCCCTGTCAAGACCCAGCTCTTTGTCTTATTAATGTTTTTCGAGTGAAACACCTTTGATCATCTCTGTAGATGCTTCAGTGACATTTGATGAAATTGACATTTAAAACTATTTTTTTTAATGTCTTCATAAGCTAGGAATAGGAAAATTCTTCTTAGCTTCATAGTATTTAGCATAGAAACCAAGAGAAGATTTGCATTATACCCAATGACGAGGCATTAGAGGCATAGTCAAAGTGAAAATCAATAAGGACAATTTGTCTTATCTCCTGAGTAAAATTTTCCCCAACTGCCCACAACCTGGGTGACTAACCCTTCCTCTAAAGCCCTGTGCTATTAACATCACTCATTTGACGTTTACCCTACGCTACTTCACATGGACACCTTTCTTTTAATGCAGGGGGCCTTCAAACATACAGCATTTTATTTGAATTTCTATTAAGCTGGTTCACCATTTACAAGCTTGTATCATAACATTCATGTGCATGCTTTATCTCTTCCTTAGCCTGTCAACTTCTCCAGAGGAAGGACTTTTAATTTGCATATGTAAACATTCAACAAATGTTTGCTGAACAAAAGAACAGAAGGCTTATCTTCTCCATGAGATTATAAACCTTCTAAGGGCAAGAGCCATATTTTAAGATTCTTTAAAATCATAGAAATGAGTGCATAGTAAGTGCTCAATATATATTTCGTTTTTCTTAATAATGATAATATTAATTTTACAGCCATGAGAACATAGTCTCTAATTTTTAAAATTAAATTAAAAATGTTTTCTTTTTTAAGGAAATAAAATTGTTAGGTTAAATCTGTTGAAAAAAATGTCAAAATCAAGAAAATAATAGTTGCTATCAGAACTATTAGTGAATATTTCCTTGGACATTCTAAAAAATGCCAGACAAATAAGAAAAAGGAAAGAAGTGATAAATATTTTAAAGTGAGAATTTTATCATTGTTTTAAGATCATGTAATTATCTCCCTAGGAAACCCAATACATTTAACAAGAAATTATATTGACAAATTATACAGAATTGAACAGAATTACACTGACAAAATCTCACTGAAGAAGATAAAAGAAGACTTGAATGATATACTGAACAATTATTTATCTGGATAAAAAGACTCAATAGTATAAAGTATTATACGCACTTAATACTTTAATTATACACACAAAAGTATAAATACGCACTTTTTATTATTCTATGAAGTTAATGCAATTCCAGTTAAAATCAAAACAAGTTTTTATTGACATAATTATTTTCAAGTATCTGAAGAATGAATGCACGAAAATATCCCAAAAGTTGTTTTTAAAACTGTAATAGGGAACTTTCCATATTGAAATAAAACAAATTATAAAGATATAAAGTAGCCAAAATACCACAATGCTGGAAAATGAATAGATGGATAACAACAAAAATAACAGATAACATTTGTTGGACAAATATTCTGTGCCAAGTACCATACAAGCACTTTATATAAGTCAACTTATTTAAATCTTCCAAACTACGAAGATAAAAAATTTGGCCAAATTAGTTGTGGAGCTGAGATTCAAACTCAAGGAATCTGACTTTAGAATAGTGTGCTCAGAAACTTAGTCGGGTATATGTATCAGAACTCAGTAGTATACTGATGACATTTCAGATAAATGGGGAAGGACAGACTAATAAATAATACTATTTAGTAATAACTGGCTCACCATTTGGCAAAATCAAGTAGAGCCTTCCTTATTATACAAAACAAATTTCAGATGAATTAAATATTTACATGTAAAAATGTTAAGCCACAAATTACTTAAGAAATTGTTTGAACTGGAGAAAAGTTTCATAAGCATGGCACCCTAGGCAAACACCATGAAGAGACTCTGCCCATATACTTAACTACATAAAACTCAAATAGCAAAATGGCCAAAAAAAAAATCACAGATGAAGTTCAATTTATATGATAACTGAGGAAAACATTTGCAACATATGTGATAATGGGTATTTTTCATGTATAAATATTTCTCAGAAAATAATAACAAAAATTGGAACATCCCAATAAAAAAGAAGGCAAAGAATATGAACAGGAATTTAACATAAGAAAAATTTTTAAAACTCCCTGACAAATAAATGTATAAAGTAATATTGCCATATCTCTTTTCACCTATAGGACTGGTAAAAATTTTAAGTCATTGTAATGACTGGAGTTGGTATGCATGGGGGAAAAAGTCACTCTCATACATTGCTACTGGATATGTAAATTAGCATGACATTTTTAAGGAACGTGGATCAAATGAATATCAAAACTTTTCATGTGTATGTGCTTTGGCTCATAAATGCTCTTTGAGGAATTTATACTAAAGAAATAAGAGAAGTTGTCATAAGTCAGAGGTCAACATCCTTTTTTTGTAAAGGGACAAATAGTAAATATTTTAGGTTGTGGCAGATACATTCTCTCCTGGCACTACTCAACTCTGCCAATATGGCATTGATATGCTTAGTCTCTGTGTCCCCACCCAAATCTCATCTCAAATCCCCATATGTCAAGGGAGAGACCTGATGGGGGTGGTTCCCCCAGACTGTTCTTGTGATCGTGAGTTCTCACAAATCTGATGGTTTTATAAGGGACACTTCCCCCTTTGTGCTCTCTCTCTCTCTGTCTCCTGCCACCACGTAAGACATGCTTGCTTCCCCTTCCGCCATGATTGCAAGTTTCCTGATGCCTCCCCAGCCATGCGGAACTGTGAGTCAATTAAACCCCTTTTCTTTATAAATTACCCAGTCTCAGGCAGTTCTTTATAGCAATGTGAGAATGGACTAATACAGGCATCAGAGAAGCCATAGACAACATGTAAATGATGGGCATGGCTGTGTTCCAGTCACACTTCATTTCAAAAATGGGCAGGCGGCTGGCCAGAGCTGGCCCATGCACCATAATTTGCTGACCCCTGCCATGGATGCTGTTCACGTCTGCCTTGTTTATTGCATTGACAAAGAAGAAAACAGCCTGATGTTCTTTAACAGGGAATTCGTTAAGTAACATAAAGTTCTCTGCAGCAGTAAAAACCAGGCTGTCGCTCAGGGTTTCAGGACTTCAAGGGACCGACCCTGCTGTCGGCCTCCCTTTGTCCCTGTGCTCCCCTCCAAGAGCCCTCAGAGTTAAGCACACAGGAATTGCTCTTCCTTCACTTCTCCATTGGAAACCAACCTCCGCTCCCAAAGGCTGCCTCAGCCCTCCACAGGACTCCTCCCTCCTCCACTGAATTCCATGAGCACTAAATATTGACCCTATTATTTGGCAGTTTGTCAAGCCCTGCCTTGAGTGATTGTCATTTTGATTTGGAGTTGTTTCACTTTTTTTATGTGTTTAGGTGTTGTCCCGCCAGCTAAATTGCCAGGCACAATTTGTGTCTTGGAAGTCCATGGCAAACATCCAGACACATTTTATGTTCAGTTAGAAAGGTAGCGATTATAGGATTAAGAATGTTGGTAGAACATCTAAATTGCCATGAGAAACATTAAAAACTACTAGTCAAAAGAAAATTGAGAATGTCTGGTTAACACATTGAGAGAGAACAGAGGAGACCACAAAGCAGCTTAGCCTTGAAAGACAGATGATTGAAGAGTCAGAACGGCATGGTGATTACAAATCACAGTTCCGCCACACACTAGACCTGCAACCTTAGGCAAGCTTCATCCCCACACCCGCCGATTCAGTTTTCTCATCTGTAAGTGGAGGTTACTGGCAACACCTACCTCCCTGTACTGAGGTAATAATTAAATGAGACAATACATGTGAGATACTTAGAACAGAGCTTGGCACGTTGAAACCCTTCAGAAAATCATCACAGTTGTTACTAATGTTAATAGTAGCAGTAGTAGTAGCCATTGTAGCCATAGTACAAAGAGAGAGTAGACCAAGCATTATCATTATAACAGTGTACGTACCAGGTGAAATATATAGTAATAAAACACAAAAATAATACAAATACTTTTTTTGAAATGAGCATAACATTGATACAAAACCCAAAAAGAAAAAATGGAACAACAAAAAAAGACACAGCTCTGTCTGCGTTATAAGTATTAACACAAACATTTTAACTAAAGTATTAGCACACTAAAACCAGCACCACATTAAACTAGTAAAACACCACAAGTGGTGATTATTCCAGGATGCAAGAATGGTTTGGGTTAAGGATGTCTGTGAATGCACTGCCTTGTATTAAAAAATCCAAAAGGGAAAACCATAAGTTCCTCACTGTGGGGGTTGCAAGGGCATTTTACAAATTTAACATCCATTCTTGATATTTAAAAATAGAACTCTACAAAATTGGAATAGATGGATACTTATTGAACATTATAAAATATTTCTTAGTTCAAAACCAAGTGTCATGCTTAACGAAATTCACTAGAAACATTTCCACTAATGAGTGTCAGGAAAAATTCAAGAATAGCCATCATCACTACTATTATTTAACATGGTCCCATAGGAGCTACTAAACAATATATCCCCTTTCTAGTGTTCTAAAGGGGAACGGAAGAGGCAAATGATCACCTTTTGCACATATGTTCAATATTTAGAAA